TTAATTTATGCAGAAATTCATGTTGGGACTTTTACAAATGTAATTTTTCAGCGTGATTTGAGTACATAAGATAATTTTGAAATTTTTGTCATTAATTTGTCTGAATATCCCTTAAATTAACGAGCTTTTACATATTTTAAAAACATAAACATTCACGATAATTAATATAATTGTAAAATGAACAGCAAATTTTAAAATCAAAAGAGAAGCAGTATTGATAAACATTTTTCATTAATGATTACTAGTCCATCTAATCAGGTAAAAGAAGACAGACGAGACGGTGGACTAGAGATGAGCTTTTACGAAGACCCATTCATGTTTATTACGAGTCTCTCATTGCCGAACTTGTTAAGGATCCGGCGGCCTTCAAGATATTCACTTTAATCGGATCTAATATGTCTCGGGGGTCGGACGCGATGAGGTCGAATCCTTTTCGCCAAAATCATAAAACTCTGCAATTCGTTTTCTAGGTGTTCTTTTCTTGGGGGATGGGACATTTTGAAAATGAGCATGCAAGAGGTTGTGGATGGATAAAATAGGTCCGTATAGATCCGTGGCCACTCGGTCTTCTCCGTATCAATTCGTTCTTCTCCGTATCAGACCGTTCTTATTCGTACTAACCCGTGCTTTTTTTTTGCTTTTTTTTTGTTTTGGATTTTACGTCACATCGACACAGTATAGGTCATATCGCGACGTTCCAGCTTTACTGGTGGAGGTAGACCTCAGGTGCCCTTCCGTGCATTATTTCAGGCACGAACGGGCACCTGAGTAGAACCACCGACGTTCCGTAAGCTAGCTGGATAGCTTCCTCACATGAAAGAATCCGAAGTCCCTGTCGGGATTCGAACCCACAGCGGTGAGGGGCAAGCGATTTGAAGTCAACGACCTAACCCGTGCTTATACCGTAGAAGATCGTAGTTTATCCGTAGCTTTTGGTGGTAAATCCGTCGAACTCCGTACTTATACAGTTGTGTGTCCGTACTGGAACCGTAGCGGACTACGGAATTTCACATTACGTAGTAATCCGTGAACGATTAGACCGTAGCTCTTCCGTGGCATTATCCGTGAATATGTGACAGGTCATAACATATAGGCGTTAGAATATTGAGAATAAATATGCATATCTGCTTGCTTTGCACATATTTGCAATAATTTGATCTTATTTTCAGAGATACATAATGCGTTATTTTTCATATACTAGATACTTACATTGTTTGATTTTATTCTAAAATGTATGTATGTGTATACATGTACAATAGTCAAAGACATGCGATCACGTGTACGTGAAGCATGAATACAGTAACGATCTTGTACCCTAAAAAAGTTCCTTTGCACAGATGAACATAAGCTGCGTTGTGCAGTCTTCTCGTGCGAAGAGTGGTGTGCTACCATTGTGTGATTGTAGCGACAAACAACATCCTCCTGTGTGAATACAGACAGGCGCGCCATGGTGTCCCCAAAGTTCACCACCGTTATCTCTGTCTATAGGTACATCTACACCAGTATCGATGCCATACCATTGGTATTCATTACTTCCTTCCACAGCATACCCGCCTAAATAATATCCGTAATCCTCATCTGAAATGTATAAATTGACAAACTACCATGAAGTTTGTTCTTCAGTTGAATAGAGAGGAGTGTGTCATATTTCTAATATTTTGTGACTGCTGTAAGCGCACATTTAAAAAGATTCATTTATATATTATTCATTGACCTTTTCAACTTGAATGTAGTGTTAGTATATTCGTGTCATGTGCTGTTCACGTTTATATTTGCTTTGTCGCCTTGTAAAAGTAACTGTCACATAAAACAGTCAATACTATTCAATACCATAATTTTAGCTTTAAACAGTGTTTTCTATAGATATTCTTTAGTTTTTCTCCCTATTAATATTGACACGTGACTGTAATAAAACTGTAAGCTAAAATTGGAATTGTTTTCAAAGACCAGAAAATGATACTGTTCTCAAAGACAAGAAAATGATATAATTATTTTCCTCAATAATATTACAACTCACTTTTTTGTAATGTTAATTTCCCACTGGGAGTTATTCATATGCAAATGCTAGTGTACCACGTGACTAAGAAATTTGTACTGTATGAAATTTGGTCACGTTGTTTGTTTGCTAGAAAAATAGAAAAGCCGCCATTTCTTTTCTCGCTTCAATCTCTTATTTTTCTATGTTCACCACGAAGGAACATCACCAGACTGACTATTGAAAGAGAGAAAATTTAGTTGTTTGCACCTCGAATGCGTTTTTGCGTCTTAAATGTCTTTTGGTTGAATAGTAAAAGGTAAGGATCTGTTCTCTACGGAAGTTATTGCATTGAGTTATGTGTCAAAATGGAACAAGCAGATTATTAAAGCATACAACAAAGGATAATTTAACAAATCTAATAAGTGAAACATGACAGGTGTGGTGGACAGATGTATGATACCATCGTAATTTCGTAAAAACCATGTGAAGAATATTCTGGATACAGTAGGATCAGATTTCACAGACCATAACCGTATTAATGGGTTTCTGTTTTGATTTCCAAATGAAACACAGCTTATTGTACGTTTATGGTTGGTTGATATCATAGTTTTCTTAAAGCATAAAAGAAAGAAATTCTCAAATTCACTTTCAACTTGCAAGGTAAGGACAGTTGAGTTATTGATACTATTGGTTCAATTTTCTTATAGTTAAATTTAGTTATAATTATCAAATCACTACATTATTTGTCCGGGTCATAAAATAAATTGCACATCGGTTTGTGAGCAACAGAAACGCCTCGGGTAACAGTATTTTCCTCGGTTTGAAATGCTCACTGTTACCCATAAACCCATGTTAATTATATACTGTAATCATAGACAAGCACACGATACCACGATACTGTTGTCAAAGACAAAATAGATATTATTATAAAAGACAAGAAAATGATATTTTAAGCACATTCAAGAAAATAATATTGTACCCACAGAAAAGGGTATTGTAAGCAAAGACAAGACAACGCTACTGTTATCAAAGAGAATAAACGATACTGTAAGCAAAGATAAGAAAACGATACTTTCATCAAAGACAAAAAACGATACTGTAATAAAAGACAAGAACACGAGACAAGAAAACGATTTTATTATCAAAGACAAAAAGCTATACTATAATAAAAGACAAGAAAAACGATACTGTAAGCAAAGACAAGAATACGATACTGTTATCAAAGACAAGAAAACGATACTATTATCAAAGAAAAGAGAACGATACTGTAAGCAAAGACAAGGAAACGATACTGTAACCAAAGACAATAAAATGATACTGTAACCAAAGGCAATAAAAGAATACTGTAATCAAAGACAATAAAACCGATACTGTAAAATCAAAGACAAGAACACGATACTGTTATCAAAGACAAGTGCACGAAACTGTAAGCAAAAACAAGTAAATTATACTGTTAGCAAAGACAAGAAAACGATACTGTAAAAACGATACTGTTATAAAAGTGATCGATAATGTAAGCAAAAGCAAGTAAACTATACTGTTTTCTAAGACAAGAAAACTATGCTGTTATCAAAGACAAGAAAGCTATACTGTTATCAAAAACAAGAAAACGATACTGTTATCAAAGACAATGAAACGATACTGTAACCAAAGACAAAAAAACGATTCTGTAAGCAAAGACAACACAAGGATACTCTACTTAAAGACAACAAACCTATACTGTAATAAAAGACAAGAAAATTGTACAGTTATAAAAGATAAGAAAACTATACTGTTATCAAAGACAAGAAAATTATACTGTTATCATAGGCAATTAAACCATACTCTTATCAAAAACAAGAAACTGCACTGTTATCAAAGACAAGAAAACGATACTGTTATCAAAGACAAGAACACGATACTGTTATCAAAGACAAGAACACGATACTGTCACCAAAGACAAGAAAACGATTATGTAAGCAAAGACAATAAAATGATACTCTGCTCAAAGACAACAAACCTATAATGTATTCAAAGACAAGAAAATCGTACTGTTATAAAAGATAAGAAAACTATACTGCTATCAAAGACAAGAAAACGATACTGTAAGCAAATGCATGAAAACGATACTGTTATCGAAGACATGTGAACGATACTGTAAGCAAAGGCAAGTAAACTATACTGTTATCAAAGACAAGAAACTATACTGTTTTCAAAGACAAGTAAACTATACTGTTATCAAAGACAAGAAAGTATACTGTTATCAAAGACAAGAAAACGATACTTTTATCAAAGACAAGAAAACGATACTGTTATCAAAGACAAGAAAACGATACTGTTATCAAAGACAAGAAAACGATACTGTTATCAAAGACAAGAAGCCGATACTGTTATCAAAGGCAAGAAAACAATACTGTAATCAAAGCTAAAAGATTATACTGTTATAAAAGACAAGAAAACTAGACTGTTATTAAGGACAAGAAAGCAATACTGTAGTCATCTGCAATATAGCTTCACTGTTATCAAAGACAAGGAAATGAAACTGCTGTCAATGACAAAAAAACTATCAAAGACAAGAAAGTGATATTTTAAGCAAAGACACGAAAATGATATTTTAAGCAAAGAAAAACTAATGTTACTGTTACCAAATACAAACAAACGGTACTGTTATCTAACAAGAAAATGATATTGTAAATCCGGTCAAAAACGATACAGTAATCAAAACAAACTGAAGTTACGGCAATATTGATTTTGAAATGCATGCATTTGAAGCCAGGCAAGTTGTATTATATATTTAGTTTCCGAATATGAGATTGAAATATTTCTGGAAAAAATGTTTGAATTATTTATGTTTAATGTTTGACGACAGGGTTTTAGCGTTTAAAATATTGATTTTAACAATTGGTACGACTCATCATTGTGCATTTATTGTTAAAAACTAATCTATTGTAAATAAAAATGATTGAAGTTCATATATACAGAAGACTGATGAGTTCACTATAGCTATCTAAAGCTATTCATATTTCACTTTAGACTTCCTTTGGTATCAATTACATATTTACATGAACCATAAGCACCGATTCTATCCGTAATTCTGTTTTGTGAGAATAACACAGAAATTGTGCAATAGTAACGCCGAATATGTGCCATATATGGCTAGGTAAGTAAACGGAGCAATATATGTTATTGTATATTAAAAGAAAGAACTGAATTAACCTATACGGCTTAGACATTAAACATGGTCCTGGAATAATTTTTAATTAAGGTTAAATTGAAATGTTTTAACAGTTGTACCTTAAATTTTATTTACTATATGAGATAGTGGTCCTTTTACTTACTGCATTGCTCGTTACGGGTCATATATTGGATATATTCGGCGTTATTTTTGCACTTTTTTGCATTATTTTCATATTCCTACTACACGGTGATGAAGTAAAATATATTAAGCACTGATAAATATAAGGTATGAAATAAAATGTATACACTATAACATAAAACTTACTGGAAATATGAGCCAGGACAGGTTTTAAATAAGCCATTTTCGCTGATGTGTCAATGCGCAGAAGATCTGCTCCATCCTCCTTGCATGTGTCACGTGACTCGTCGGACGTTCGTTCGTCATGGTACATCTTCATGCACACGTTTAATGAGCGTATGTACGTGTAATCATGACGCTCGCAAACAACTGTAAATAAAAATTAACGCATGTTTGGAAATTTTCCTTTGTTCTTACTTACCCATTATACCCAGTTAACGTTCAACTGCATTGATATATAACAGTGTTGTTTTTTATTTTTTTATTTATTTTTTTTCATCATTGATTCATATAGGGAAAAATCAACAATTGGGTTGTTTTTGGTTTTTTATACCTTGTATATATCAGAGGATGAAATGGGGTATCACACATTTCCAGAAGTAAAAAGAACATGGATGAATTAGCTTGTATTGGTTAATAAAGTTTAGATGCGCATATCAACGTTTTTTCTGGTTCAATGATTTTGTTCAGAGTTATGGCTCTTAAATTAATTTTAATTCCGGACTACTCCTCTTATACCACTAATGCAGTTTCAATGAAACTTTACAGGATTGATTGGCAGCTCAAGTACTTGCGAATATTACATGAATTATTCCCTTCAATGATATTTTGCCGAGTTATGGCCCTTTAATAAAAGTTGTTAATAAAGTTTGTCCGAATTACCCTTATACCACTAATGCAATTTCAATGAAACTTTGCAGGATTGACTGGTAGCTCAAGTACTTGCGCATTTTACACGAGTTTACCTTTTGAGCGATTCTTGGTCGAGTTATGGCCCTTGAATAAAAAAAACTCATTTTGCCCTGTACATGATTTTTGTGTCTCCTGCAACCTGCAATTGGGTATCATGAGGCGACACATTAGATCACTGATCGTTTGTTTTTTTTAGCAGAAATATTTCTCGATGCCGCCCCAATCAATGTTATATCCTCGTAACTAACTCGTTTCATATACTAGAACTATTACTTATTTGGTTCCATGAATGTCATCTTTATAATACTGCATTTAAGCTGCTGATTTATACTTTAAAAACTTGTTTGATATTTCAAATTATTTTATAAATTATTAGTGTTATAAATATGAAACCAAAATGCATACTTTTGTATACATACATGTAGAACAAAAAGAATAGAATAGAAAAACAGTCATTGCTGTGCAAGATTTTATAACATTTATTTAAGGTATTTATGGTATTTCAATTGAAATTAGTGATACCTTTGAAAAATATAGTTTGCTTTTGTGTTATGACATCGACTGTAAAATTAGCAACGTCATACTTGTAGAGTTGACAGCTTCCGGTTGCGGGGGAATATGCAAGAGATACGCATTGTGACTCGAGGGAGCACTCCGCAGTGCATTGGTCTACATGATCAAAATTTTGGAATGCTCTCAGACGACCGTCAATAGTAAGTATATCCGACACGGATGTCTCGTGTACAACTGTAAGACGTCCAATCACTGTTAAGTGAAAATATAGATCAATTGCAAACATAATTTATCTGGAAACAAACTAACCACATACCGTAGTAATTCAATCTTTGCTTGATATACTCGTACTTTCATAATGTTTAAAAAGATTGGTATATTTCCGAGTGTACATGTTCACTTAAAGTTTAAATACCTGTATAGTGTAATTTTGAATGTATTTTCACTTTAATCTTTAATGTATTTCATAAATGTATTAACGTTCATAGTCAATAGCTCTTTTTTTTTACAAATCGCCTGCTTGCTTTACAATTTGACCGAAAGTATCATTTTCTCGCACGTGCACAATTTTCGTTGGTAAAAAAATACCATTGCCAGAATTCATAGACAATTACATTTAACTTGTTAAATACGATAATTTATAACAAGCATAAAGCAGCAGATTTATGGATACTATTATGCTCGAGAGCTAGCGGTCTTTAACTGTGTCTGTTAATATCAAACGACATTTTTGGTATTTTAGTCATACTAAATAACAGTTTTCCTCTGTAGCTTTACTGATAATCTTTAAAACATTTTGTGAATTCATCAAGAAAATATAGCACGCAGTATACGTCACGTGCTAGTGTTTTATGACACTAGCTTTCATTATATATTATTATTATCGTGTTTTATAGGAAGATGTGCTATAGACCTTTTTACGACACGGTCTGTTGCTTTGTTAAATCGACCGGAGGAACAAAGAGCATCGACCTACATTTAAATTTAGTAGATGTTCATACACAATTCCGAGTTTGTTTAAGGCAAAAAGGAGAAAAATTTATAAAAGAGCTTTTAACAAAAAAACAAAAAAAAACACACAAAAGATGCCCTTATAGCTGTGTGGCAATATTGCCATAGAAATACATGAAAAAAATGATTGTGTAAGAATTCCCCCTTACGTTCACTGACCTGACATTGAGATAATTGTTGTAAATAAAATAATGTGAAAAATATCTACTAGCAAATAAAGAGGTCAACCTACTTGTTGCTGAAATAATTTATATAATAACTAATGAAATTTCACAACATATGAAATCGAGGTTAATTATCATTCTGAAAAAGTGAAAAAGTCAGAACAGTTGATAATGTATTTTTAGTGTTCAGTTTGCCTGAGTTTATCCTTTTTCCGATTTGACTGTGATACCAAACAGAAAATATTTGAGTTACATAAATGTATGTAAATATTTTTTCAAAATCTTGAGAAGTAAAGATGGGTACTGGGTAGTGAAATAATACACGCTTTACCCGGTTCCTCGTTACACATGTAAATACATGTCACACTATTTGTCACTTCACAAAATCAATAAACATTGATAAAGTTATTTTAATAACAATTTTTCAAGATTTTACGTGATTAACTATGTCATTGTACTAAAACGTCCCTGTTGAATGATATTGTAAACTAGCTAGAAAAAAACCAACCGGTGACTTATCAATCAGTTTCACACTTGCCTGGCCAATCCACTCAAAGGAAGTGTGTGCAATACAAATTGTTTAATATTTTATGACTATTTGTAATGCAGTTGTTATAAAATTTTATCTTTAACACCCTGCTGTTTCAATTTAAATTACTGATGAAAAGGTCGTCTATTGATACCTTTAACAGCGCTTTTTGGTCATTGAATTATTAATCCCGCATATTTTCGTTTTTCTGTTATAAATATCAATTCACGTTTTAAGTACTAACCGCTTTAAGACATGCCAAAATAACTGTTTTCTGGGTGACATAACTTAAAATTACGTCTATTAAACCCTTAAAGTATGATAATTGTAGTCATCGTAATTGTGTATTTGCCCTACGCAAAATACGCATGCGCGGAATACACAATCCGTTACCATGGAAAAATTGTTAAGCTTCAGATGATATCATTATTAAATGGATGAATAAACCATTTTCAATAAAATTTTGAATAAAATTCACCATACAGCAAAGAAATTATTTCATACCAAATATTTTGGTCTTATCACCAAATCACTGTATAAATGAATTAACCCCCTCCCTTACAACTTATAACACTATAAAATATATTCAAATTAAAGAAGAAAGATTAAAATATTACCGCGATAAACCGTTATTTTATTGTTTAAATGATAATTGTTTTAAGTTATGGCTATAAAACTTAATGCCATTTGGCCATTGTTCTTTTCGGACGGGTGTCAAAGTTAATCTAAAAAACAAAACCTTTATCTTCTTAATAAATTAATAAAAATAATTTTCTTTTTACATTTAAAGATGTGTTTTAATTTTCCATTCAAGTAATGACATAAAAGGATCTTACCGCATTTAAAAAACAAAGTCCACATAAATAAAGTGAACATTTTAGTTTGTAATGAAATCAGACTGCGGGCTGTGAAGGACAATACAGCAATATATAGATTTAATTCACTGATAGTTGGCTGAAAATTGTTGCAAGTCACTTCTAATACCAATAATCGTAGTCTAATGTAACATTTAGAAATCGTCCAATAAAATCAAGCGAACCTAATATTTCATGCTAACAACGTTTTCGGGTGTTTTCATATAGACATATAGGCAAAATTAAAACTGTTCTATAGAATGTCTTTAAACTTGGCATGTTGTTTGAATATGATAACATACATATTTTTAAGCGAAAAAAATGGGGTCGCAGTTCTCGTTTATGCCTGTATGAAAACTCCCGAAAACGTTCCTTAGTTATCTTATATTAAAATAATATAATATAAATAACGTTTGATTTGCATATACAATTTTATTATTTGAACCAAGCATTAAGATTTAGTTATGATATCTGAGCTAAGAACAGGGAATTTCCTGACACCGAAAATAGATACTTTATTTTTAAAGTCAAAATAGATATACATTGTATTGTAACTTTCATTCCACAATAAATATGTTCCTTAAACTCCCCGATCTTCTTAACAAAAAGATTCTTTTATTTTACTCACTGAGCTGAAAACATATATCTTACTTATGATGTACTGTTATTAAGTGTCAATATATTCAGACTTGGATTGGGGGCAAGGCAATGTTTCTTGTCAACTTTTAGCTCGAGACCGCTATCCCTACTTAACACTTTGAACCCGAAATAGATATTTTTATTGCAAACTTTAAGATAAAAACATTTTGCCTTTAATCACTCAGCTCAAAATAAGTGTTTTATTTAAGCTCAAATTAGATTTCTAAGTCTTTAAGTACTGAACGATGATTTTTATTTGACAAAAAGAAACTAAAAGTCCGTGGCTGCAATCCGCTATGTACCTTTGATTAGTCAGACTTATTATTATATACCCATTAACGACTCGGTCCGTTGTTATAAGAAATCGACCGGATTTTGTATTTCCTAGCGCATGCGCAATCTGCGTGGGGCAAAAAATAAAATTGTAGTAGACGTTAATAGACAAATCTGAGTTAGTTAGCATCTTTTTTTAAATGTTACTAGTATTAGATCTATCAAGTGTTTTTAAGCCATTAATACTCGTCCTGAACGCCAGAAAGTGATAATCGGTCCTGAAATGAGAATAATGTCCTAAGGCTGAAGCCCTCGGGCCATTTTTATTTGTTTGGGTCGTCAGACCAAACAAATAATGGTAGCGAAATTTCAGACTCTAATGCTGTTAATTGCAATTGCCGAAAGTAGTCCGCTTTTTTGAAGCGGTTACTTCCCTTTATATGTACACTAACGCCGAAAGAATTCAGGGTAGATCACTGCGTAATGATGGTGAAATGACAGGCGCATTAATTTTCAAGCAAAATAAAAGCAAAATAATTCCCGAATTGTCGAATATTTCTAATATTGTTTTATTCTTTATAGATATACATCTTTATTGTAAGCACAATGATTATTTACATGTGTGTTAAACAACAGTTAGCGTCGTTACAAACCCTATTGTAGAATACTATGGTTTTCTCCCGGCTAAATATAGCATATAAATTTACCGTGGCCGAGGGGTTTGCGCGCTCGCTTTGGAAGCGAGAGGTCTGGAGTTCATATCCCAGTTAAGGCAACTCATTTTTTTTCAAATTGTTTAAGTCAAATAAACATTGGATTGAATATCAGTGTTGCAATTAGTCTTATAACCAATTTACTACAATTAAAACGCTGGAAAGCATTGGCGGCACTATACAAAAACAAATTGGTTTATTATCTCGCAATCTTCACCTTTCTGACATTCTGAGAACCAAACAAATTCAGCGCCTTCTGTGCTTTGATTTATTTTGCGGGTCGATTATCATTTTCCGTCCCTACACTGCCGTGTCAATCACCTTGTTGTGTCAATTTAAATAACTGATGAAAAGGGTCCTTAAAAGAAAGGTCTTTGTTATGCGAATTAGTAAGTTCCGTATATTTTCTTATATCTTTTATAAATATCAAGTCACGTTTTACGTACTTACCGCTTGTTTTCCGGGTGACATAACTTGAAATTATGTTATTAAAGTCTTTCAGTATGAGAATTGAAAGAGAATATTAACAATAGAATTTGCATTCACGACATCTAAGCTAGTAAACCTTCGTACACCTTTACCGAGTATTTTAAAGGAAGATATATCCGAGTGACACATTTCTGCATACGTAAATTCAAGAGGTGGTTAGATTCTTATGCTTGTACACCAAGGTACTTATGTCAGAATCAAATTCAACATTCAGGGTTTTTTTTAATTTGCTGATGCTTAAACGCAGAAATGTTCAAGTAATTTACTTAAATTCGCCGTTGCATTGGTTATGTAATAGAAAGAGCACCGAAACACGAGGCTATCTGATTTGTACGAGGGGGCGTAGCCCCCGAGTATAAATCAGATTGCCGAGTGTTTTTGGTGTTCTTTCTCTTTTGTATCATAGTCAAACATAAAAACACGTTCCCTGTTGTCACAATTTTAAACCCCGGGAAAAAGTAACCAATGATCGAGCATCTGAATATGATATTTCTGTCGTTTTCCCTTTCTTCCGTCACAATATGTAAATTCCCCACCAAAAATGAGCCAATCAACGGGCATGATCTGGAGTGCGGGTAACTGATACCTGCACTCCAGTTACCGCACTGTGCATGTATATGTATACGATTTAACTCTGACACTTTTTCAACAGAAAGGTCCCCAAACTATGATACAATTATGATTGTATCATAGTTTGAGTACCTTTCTGTTGAAAAGGTGTCAGAGTTTAATCGTATACATATACATGTACAGTGCGTTAACTGGAGTGCAGGTATTTGTAACCCGCACTCCAGAGCATGTCCATTGATTGGCTCATTTTTGCTAGGGTTTACTAATTGTGACGGAAGAGAAAGGGAAAGCGACAGGAATCTCAGGGTTTTGTTTTTTGTTTTCTTCAGTTATAAATTGTCTTTATTTCTCTGCAATTGTCATAATTTATTTCTTAAGAGGACGAATATTCTCCAATTTAACTTATTTTTTGTGAAATTTATAAGTGTTTAGAAGCTTTACATTTACCAGTTTCCAGTTTATAAACATGCGTAGTTCTGTAAGAAAAAAATCAACTTGACGTCATATTTTGATATTATAATGGACTGTTGATACAGTTATATAGACGTTAAGTTTAAGTAAATATAAGTTTCCGTTAAGTGTATAGCTATCCGATCAACTTTTAATTTCGCATGAGGATCATGATCTCAAAATAAACATTTCATGATGCCGCGTTCCTTGGTTTTCAATATAACTTGAATCCCTGTCATAGTTAGTAAATAAATTAGTCAATTGTTAAAAATTAAAAATCAATTATTCTTTTTTACATTAAAAGCGGAGCTTCTTTCACAATATATTCAATTTGTTTCGTTTTAGCAAATGAGACAATAGCAAGTTTCCGAAAAGATTTTTTCATTTATTGATATATTCGACAAATATTCTATTATCGCACTAAAGCATAACTATAAAAATCATACATCAGCTTAACTCGTTCTTTAAAAACCACATTTGATAGCAACTTGTCAGTTGAGAGTTTTTAGCACGCTAAAGTTATTTTGGATGTAATTTGTTGACTTAAATATGAAATATGCCTCCCGTTTTAATCCGCTTTATGAAATAATATAAATAATGTTTTAATGGGATTTCCACCTATTTTTTCAGAAAGAACGGGCTATCGATTATTTTCCACGAAAATCATTTGTTAAAACTGATAATACATTCACTTGTTTATTTAATGTCATAACTTGACTTATCGTACAACTTATATAAATACTCGTACTGTCATTGTGTGACAAAGAATTGTATTGCTATACTTTTTATGCAGCAATGCTTTTAGTATCTGTCATTTAAAATGCTTTTAATCAAAGTGATCCTATTCAGTATCTGTTGAGTGTAAAATTAACAGACCTCTGTGTCTCGGATTAGACCATTTCGTGTATGTTTTCTGCAACAGTTTCTACTGAGACAAAATCTTTTCTTTCTGTATTGCTGTTTAAAAGTTCGATGCAAAAAATGTAAATTTTGTTGCTTGCCTTATATTGAGGTCAACTTTATGGGTGATTTCGTCAGTCATTGGAATTCGAGCTTATGAGTACTAGTAAATGAAACAAAAATTTCTGTTTCTTTATCAGCTTCATTATATTATACATTACATATTATACATTACTATTATGCATCACATATTATACATTACATATCATACATTACATATTATACATAACATATCATACATTACATAATATACCTTACATATTATACATAACATATGACACACATTACATATAATGCATTACATATGACACATTACATATAATGCATTACAAATTATACATTACATATTATACTTTACATATTATGCTTTATATATTATACTTTACATATTATTATATTATTAATTACATATTACACATTACATAATTATTATATATTATACATTACATATTATACATTTCATTTTATAAATTACATATTATACATTTTTTCCTCCACGATTAACTACCAAAGCATCTCCCGGGGATCGAACCCACGCCAGAGATGTAACTGGATTAGAAGTCATCGACTCTAACCCCTCGACCATGGAGTCGGTTACATTATATATAATGCATTACATATTACAAATAACATATTATACATTACATATTATACTTAACATATTACACATTACATATTAAACATTAAAAATTATACATTACATATTGCACATTACTGTCCTAGGATGATAATTTGGTCTTAACGGGACATGGGAAAGTCAATTAAAAAGGTAAGTCTGCTTATTATCCGAGATTGATAGTGTCAACAACTATATATAGTTTAATTCTAAGAAGAATATATATCATCGTGATAGCTCAGGTGGTTAATCAACGTCACTGTAACTTTTAAAGATTTGAACTCATAGGTTCGAAACCTACGCTCTGACATGTTATAATGAGGTTGTTGTTATTGTGTTTCTCCCTATT